TTTTAGAGGAAGGAAGGCAGAGGAGAACGGAGAGTAATAATGAGGGTAAAATTGGGTGAGATGAGAAAAGGCTAAGAGAGATAGGAAAAATGCTAATGAATATTAAAAGGAAATATATTAAAAGTCAAATACGGGCCACGACTATAATTTTTTCAATAAAAAAGGAAAGTGGGATATTCGAAGAGAAATATTTGTTCATATCAAATATCTTTGCCAAAAATTTAAATTTGTTCAAAGAGAAAATCAGATTATCACAAATTTCAAAGTTTTAATTTGTCATTTCTATCAGTTGCATTAGTCACAATAGCATTATTAGAAATATTATAATAATAGATGGGATGATGACGACAACAATAATAATAATAGTGACGAAAATGACAACAAGATAATATTACTGATACGGGGAATAATAATGACAATGATAATGATAATAAAAACAATAATACAATCAAAAATTATAATATAAAAAAAAGAGAGAAGAAAACGGACAGAAATTATTCAAAGAATATTGATTAATTTTATTCATGAAAAATTACAGAAAATCAATATTTGAAAATTGAGAAAATCTTGAAAGTACTTTAAAATAAAATGTTCTCATATTAATGTTATTTTTCCAACCACAGAATCTCTGGTATTATCCATCATTAAATCACAACATTTAAAAATGACGTAGGCAAATTTGTTTTATTAAATGATAGGAGGCTCATTTATTTGGTTGCAAATAATTGCAAATAAAAGCAAGGAAAGTTTTTTTTTTCACGTTATTTCAACTTTATACTTGACAAACCGGTTAAAAATTTCGAAATGAATTCCAGAAAAAAAAGCGGACTTTTAGCAAAGAATTTGTATGGACGAAGAAACGATTAAAATAAGCTTTTAAAAAAGCTTATTTTAATCGTTTCTTCGTCCATAAATTTTAATAAAAATTTTTCGATGTTAATCCAAAATCTGGAATTTAATTTAATCTAAAAAATGAAGTTTAGTCACAAATTCAAAAAATATTTTTAACAAAAAGAAGAAATGAAACTCGTTTCCAGCATAAAAAAAAATCATATTGAAGCCATTTTCTTCTTCATCAATAAAAACTAACAAAAGAAAGAAAAAAAAAATGAAATCGTCCAGAAAAAAGTAACATTACTGGTCGTAATCCAACATTTAAAATTACAAGTCTGTTACATTTATCGTTATTTCGGAATTAATTTAAACTATAAATGTAAAAAGAAACACTGTTGGAAATGATGCTTGAAAAAAATCTGAAATGTATCATACAAAAAATTCTTTCCGGTTTATTCAGCTCTATGTATTTAATTTATTCACCTCATTTCACTAACAATAAACCAAAATATAATTTCAATAAAATATAATTTCGAAAGAATTTAGTAATTTGATGATAACGAAAGATAAAATTTAAATATAGTTTAATTTGAGATAACGTAATTAAATTTATGATGAATTAAGACAAATTATTCATTTCACTCAACTTTTAAAGTTTACAAAGGAAGTATGAAATTTGATTGTTTACTTCCGTCTTTGTAACAATAAAGTGTATCGCCACTTTTACATTGCCATTTTTATCACATTTCTCAAAATCAATTAATTTCTATTGTTCAATGAAATGCATTTTTTCGAAAAAAAAAAAGCAACCATCGTTCATGCATTTTGAACGAAATACGTCAAATAT